TGATTAGAGAAAAGCAATTGGGACTTAGCAAAAGTTGCAATGAGGAGAGAGAGTGGGACGAGTGGTGAATATACCTGCCAACTCAGGAATTCTGGGAGTTCGTGCCACTAAAGCCCCCACTAACTCCACTTCAATGCTTCACCCTTCCGTCTGCTTCTCACGTTAAACTCCCACTAAACTCTCTAAATTCCCTATTAACTCCAAGTAGCCGTTATTGCTTCAAATAAATCCAAAAATAATTCCAAAAAACTCAAATGCTAATTAAATCGTTTACTTCCCTCCAATTTGCAAGTCAAAACCCAATTCGTCAAACTTCCAAACCAGGACTGGGGGGGCAAGTTGTTTGGGTCCAATTTACTCTAATTGGGCCGGCCCACGAATGATTCAATTACAAGTCAAAGAAGGTTTAACCCTCCAAAAGCATGCCAAGTCATTCAAAGGCCCAGTCAACATGGCAACCCCATTTGGCTCCAAGGCCTATTTAATCTATTTGAGCAAGGTATAAAAGTCTTCGGTTCTCTCTTTCTACATTCATTCACATTAAGCCTCAAGCAATAAATACTCTTGCATAGCTTTCTCTCTTTAGAAACACTTTACTGACTTCGGCATCGGAGGGGCCTTCCTCGGCACAACCACCGAGGCCAGATTACGTGTGTTTGTTGTGCAGGAAACCCTCGTCCCAGTCATCACTTGGGCCGAGTCCAATCTTCAGCCCACTGGAAAGGTCTCGACGAAGGACCCATTGTTTAAACCCGAAACAACTATAAATACAAACAAAGAAATCCCTAAACCTTAGTTTACCAAAATCCCATAATTAAACAATAAACCCCAAAATAATAAAATTTAGAGGAATGAATCTAAACTAACACACAAACCTGATGTGCACTGGTACCTTCATTTTCACTAGAAATCAACCAAGTTAGAACTTTCTTCTTAAACTCGCTTGATTGATGAAAGCACAAAGACAAATAAATGTAGATAGGGAATTTTTTTTTTTTTTTTTGAAAAGGTCTAAAAAAATAAACATAGAAAGTACACAGTAGAATCTTAAAATACTTTAAGATCTCACATCTCTAAACGAAATACTCTGTATTATATAGTAGCCTCAAAATTAGGAATGACAACGGATCGGATTCGGGTCGGATGGGGCTAATTCCAAATCCGATCCGTTTAATATTCGGATTGTGGACTCAGGTCCGAATCCAATTGACTCAAGTTCGAGTTCGAATCCGACTCACATCTTAAGGGCTCGAATCCGATCCATTTATTCGGACATCTGGATTGATCCGAGTATTTTTTTTTAGAATAATGTGTGATACATTTATAATTGCTCGTATGGTCTCTAATAATACTCCCTCCGCCCCATAATACATGAGACGTTGGACTTTTTTTCACCATTCATGCATTATGTTTAACCATAATTTTTTTACTAACATAATAAAAATATATTTTATCATAAAATATGTTGTTAGATATAAAGTTTCATAATATTATTTTTAAAATAATCTTTATTAATATTTAATTATATAAAAATAAAGTCAAACTAGTATATTGGCATGTGTGCAATGTTTGACTGTGTCATGTATTATGGGACAGAGTGAGTATTTTTTTAATTTCATACTAGATTTAAGCCCGTGCAATGCACGGGTTTCTACTAATAAACAGGGTATATTTTGTAAATTGTTTTTTTTTTTTGAAAAACTATATTTTGTAAATTGTTTGAAAAACTATATTTTGTAAATTGTATGTTTAAACAACAATACAAACCAATTCTTGAAGAAAAATAGAAAGAAAATAAAATATGTGAAACTACATGTTCTTGTTTAACCAACTTTTTTTCAAATTGTGAACACGGTGAAAATATAATCTTCTAGGCTTCCATCATCCATTGTAAATCAATCGTTGATCGTGCCAATTGATAAGTTGCATAATTAAACACGCCCCCTTGCAAAATTAACATCCTTGCAAAATTAATACTTATGACTGAACTGGCTTCTTAATTATGATCATCGCTCATCGCGTGGGATATTAAATGAGTTTATATAGGATTTAAAAGATCCTGGATTTAAAGTGGTGATGATCATCGTTCATCGCGTGGGACATTAGATGAGTTTATATAGGATTTAAAAAATACTGGATTTAAAGTGGTGATAAACTTTATTATTCAGATTTGATAAATTTTGTTAACGTAGAACTTAATCTTTTAAATGAGTAAAATGATAAATGATGAACATTTATTTTTTGCTAGATTAAGATAAAGGATATATGTTTAATTTCAATGATTTTTCTTATTTTTTTGTATCTAATCCAAAACTGATTTTTTTTTTCTTTTGAGAGAAAATTGATATTTTTTTTAATTTGACGTGATTTCATTTTTTTATTAGTATTTTTTTATAAAATATTTTATTATAATCGCTTGTCATATTTTCATTATTTTTTTAACTAATCCAATTTTTTTAAATATCAATTGAACGTGAATTTTATTTTTAAGTTTAATAGTATTTTATATATATATATATATATATATAAAATAAAATAAATTGTTTCTTTTCTCTTAGATAAAATTTCCAATTTAAAAAGATAGTATTTTATTTTTATAATAAATTTAAACCTTTAATTTTAATCTTACGTGATACTTTAAAATAAAAATCCTACGTGGCATAAACCTACACGTTACGCTCTAAAAATACTAATCCTATATGGCACTCTAATAATTTTTAAAAAATAAAAATCCTAGGTGGCTCTCTAAAATCTTGGGAAAAAACTCCCCTTTATATATACTAGTTTTGTGCCCGTGCGATGCCCGAGTAGTTTATTCAATTTTAAGATTAACCTTTTTTTATTTATATGCCAAATTTCAAAATATATCATTAATATAAACACTGTTGTAAGAGGTATATATCCATTTTGAATTAGTATATTTTGACATAGGCTACCATTTAATTTTGTAAGTGTGCAATATATATAATAAATATACATTATATATAAGAAAAATATCTATGTTATTCAAACTTTCTACTCATGGATTAATAATCACTTGACAATCATATTAGTAAAGTAAAAATATATTTTTACCGCTCATAAAGTTGTGGGTAATTTTGGGAAAGACCTTGAGCTATCTGGTAGTTCTTGAAAATGTTACAAGTAGCATAGTCAAAGCAATTCGAAAAAATCAATTTGGAGTGTTGCACCTATTTTCATGTAATTGAATGATATTTCTAGGAGAAGGTGTGATTTTAATATCTTTAAGTGTACTCATGTTTGTCAGGCGGGTAATACGACTACCCATATTGTAGCTAAATGAGAGATTGATATAAATTTGGAATATTTTATGTATGAGTGATTTTCCCTAAGTCTTCAAAATTTGGCAAATCTTGATTTAATTTAATAATACAGATTTGCAAAGTATCTACAGTGTCTTTTAAAAAAAATTAAGAAGTACAATATAGCAATCATATAAGGTTGTAAACCTTTTATTATTAGTTGATTTAAATAATCTTAAATGGATCTCATTTTTAATTACCTTTTAAAACAATTGTCATTATATAAAAATACTTTGTAACAGACTTATAAAATATATATTTATTGAAAGTTTGAATTTAATTAGCACATATAAAATATTATTGTTACATCACTTACATAACATCACTTACATGAGCCCTCGTGACATATAACTTGCTTAATGATTTTCAAGTATGTAGTATAACCTATACAGACTTTAGCATAATATTTTAAAAGAAGACATTCTTAACCTCAGATTTGCTAATGGTGGTGTTACTTATTTCTTGTATGAGTTTCGTAAAAATTGGTTGGTAAAAAAACTAATAGCATAAAGAAAGTCAACTATACACTAATTTCTCAATTTTCACTTGGAGAACCATTGAACTTCCATACATAAACAATTGTTTTATAGTCTTATACAACTTCATCAAGGTTGTTGTAATAGAGTGGTAACTGGTAAGTATTTGGGCCTGTCATTCGGGTGACCCAAGTTCGATTCCCGGCTACGGAGTAGTAATAAAATTGTTTCTCTTTGTCAATTGTTGTTCCTTGATATGGTTCAGTTTTGTTAAACCTCACAAGTCATACCTCATCATCTTTTTCTTTTCATTACACTATAGCACGATTGACTATTATAATTTTTTTTTTGAAAGACGATTGCTTAGGAATTTTTATTCATACCAATTATTATTTGATTTGATAGAAAATGAAACTCTAATAATTTGTTATCCTACATAAATATATCGTGACCAGGCTAAAAGTTTAGCTTTATCGAATATTATTTATAAGATATTTTTTTAAAGTAATTTTATTCTTATGGAAATTAGAAATCCTATCATAAATAAAACTCTAAATAACTTTTTTATCCTAAAAATCTATCTTAAATTTGCTTATTTAACGTGAGAGGTGTCAATGTGTAATATGATAACTAGTGTGTGTCTCGGGCAATGCCCCGAATTGCTGGTTTGTATTTTGTACTTCTTTAATTTGATAATTATGCTCAAGTTTTGTATAGCTAGTGTGTGATGCGAGCGTTGCCTAGAATGTTACAATTTTTTTTTACCTCATATGTATTTATTTTCTAATCTTGTGAAGAATAAATAAACTAAATAACCTCTAATTTGAAAGAATATACTACATATAATGTTATTAATGTGAAATTTAAAACACTAAAGAAAGTTGGTTGAGATGGTTAGTGTATAACCTACGTTTGTTGGTGGTTGCGGGTTTGAATCTAGATCCGCCTCTTATTCGGGTTCAGTTTTATTTTGTCGGATTCAGATTCGAACTATTTTTGAACGGATTCGAATCGGATTTTTTTTGTTTGAATCGAGTCGGATTCGAATCAAATTTAAATTAAATTGCCATCCCTACTCAAGACGAGATGTGCAGCTAGCTATTCACTTTTCACATTAGATTCATTAGGAAAATCGATAAAACATTTGCCAATGCATATATGTTAGACGTTCGAAATGAGTCATTTAGTTGGGTTTATTTTTTCATGGTCCTGTCCTGGAGGACCTAACTCAGCTAACAAGCCCTCTTTAGCGTTTGAGTCAATGCCCCCAGTAGTCTCTAGTTTCCCGCCGCTTCTGGAAATCCAACATTTCTTTCAAAACAAGAAAGCAGTGAACAATTGACTCCAAGCCAAACGAAGAAGAAAATGCGACAGAAAGAGCTGAAATTCAGCATTGCAATCGCAATCGCATGCATCTCCGCAATCTCTCTCTACTTTACTCTTGATCATCGCCGACGACGTCGTTGTGCCAGATTATCGTGCTATTTATCCTCTGAATTCAAGCCACAATCTTCTTTCAAGCGAGTTTTGGCTGATAATTCTTACTCTTCTTTCAAGCATCTTAAGCTTTCTGATTCTAGTAATGGTATGAACTTTCATAATTGATTGATATTGATGTCATTTTTTTAATTATTTTTTGCTGAAATTTAGTATATGATTGATTGTTCATGACATAATTTTTTAATGCGTGGAACTAGTCTGAATTAGCAAATTTATATTATAATTAGATGATTTTAATCCGAATTAAGCTTCATCTTTATTTGAATTGGAGCTAATTAACTTCCAAATTTTCAGAATGAGTATGAAGATGTAACTATAGTTTCTTTATTTAAACCCTAATTGATTGATTGAATTTATACTTGAATAGTTCAGCTTTAACTTTGATTGATCAAAGTCATTATGCATAGTTGTGATCGGTTTAATTCGCCATGGTGTCATTTGATGCCTACAATCCAATGGAGAATCGAGCACACATTTGTCGAATATTGCCAAATTGGAGTGTGAATGTCTAATGTTTTGGATGTTTGGAGAAATTTGCCTTTTTTTTTACATGTGAGATAGATTAGGAGTCATGCATTCTTTAACTTTTTGTTCAATTGTTTAATTGGTGTGGCAACTAACAAACAATAACAGCAGAAAGAGAGATATTACCGTCGGCCTCCCACCCCCCCCCCCCCCCCCCAAAATCCCAAATACTATCGAGCTGACTTATCTTACCCTCCATGAAATATTGAAATGTATGTCTGCATATGCATTTCATTTGATGTATCCAATTTGAAATGTTTTAACTGATGGTACTGAATAATGAATATGAACGAAGATGGAATTTTCTTCTCTCCTTTTTGAGGATGCATTGACAAATTCAGGCTGAATTTAGCTTTGGGATTTTGTTTCTCATTTCTGCAGCTGCTGAATCATCTAATTTGCACCCTTATGATAGAGAGATTATGACGTTGTTGGAGAATACTCAAAATGATTATATCATTTTTGATGAGATTTCAATGACGGAAATGAGCAAGTCACATGTCTGGGTGGAGTCAGAGTCACAATTACAAGAACTTGTTGATGTATTGAGTAAAGAGAAGTTATTTGCTGTGGACACAGAGCAGCACAGCCTACGATCATTTCTGGGTTTCACTGCTTTAATACAGGTAATGTGTTAAGTTTTTCTCCCTTAATATCTATTCACCAAATATTTTGATATGAAGATTAGGCTAGCTTTTTTTTTTAGTGAGGTATTGCCCTTCTGTTGCATTCTTCCCTTCCTAAACCCGGGGAGGATGCCTCATTCCTGTTTGGAATTGAATGTGTTAATCTCATCATGAACCTGTATGTCAAACAGATTTCAACTCAGAAGGAGGATTATCTTGTCGACACCATCGCTTTACATGACTCTATTCATATGCTGCAGTCTGTTTTCTCTGATCCTAATGTTGTCAAGGTAAATATCTACCATATGATAACTTCAGCAAAACCTAAATGACTTCTTTGTTTTCCCAAGATTTACTAACATTAAAAACTTTTGTATGACTTTTTATCTTCCAAATTATAGCTTGTTACTACCAAAATAATATAGAAAACGTTAGATATTTTGCTTCCAACATGAAGTATGAAGAAATGACCTTTATTATCAATTTCCATGAGTACAACCTCCCCTAGGTCACTCATTAAGGAGGCATACATTATTTAATTGACAATTTTGGAACGTACATTGATTCACAACTGGTCAAGAACTACGGTAGAACAGGATGAAATCGAGGCAAACCTGTCGGCTGATGATACAAGACTAGTCTGGTAATGGATCAATTCAGACAGGGCGGACCTGTATTTTCTTGTCTGGTCTAGATTTTGAACATCCTCTGCTTTGTCGTTTTCTGCGTTTTTTTTTTCTTTTTTATTATTATTATTATTTTTTTTTTTATGTTTTAATTATGTGATCATATTATCATACAGATTCAGAATATGTAGCTGAACGAATATACTGTTGGTTTTTTTGATACTTTTTCTTTGAGTAATAAGAACACACATAAGAATGCATCATCTTATGGCTAGAATCACCAATTCTTGAGCATTCTCTACTAACCACTAAGTTCTAATTGCATTTTTAACACAACATGATACACTAAGAGAAGAGGAGGCAATATAGTTGGCAAGTAGCTGCAAGCCTGCAAGGTGCGAGCAGTGGCGTTTATTGAAACCTGGTGCAAAAATTATAAACAAAGACCAAATGGTATTAAGTGGTCTGACCTAATTGGTTTGGTCTCTGGTCCTACAATTGGTTGCCTTATTCAAGCAGTGTTCACCATAGTGCTGGTATCTTGAATGGATTTACACCACTCAAATCAATCATAGAAATTCTATTAGAACCAAAATACTCTATCCAGCTAGGTTGAAAAACATAATGTCTTGAATGTAATTCAAACAATAAAATCAACATTATTGATCACAATAACCTGTTCCCTTGACTAAAAAATATCCTATATTCAAAGTCTTTTAGGCAAATACAAAAAAAGAGAGAGCCTTCTACTTAACTTTATTCGATTAGTTGTTTAGGAGACTATTCTATGATGATCAATCATAAAAACTAGCAATAGAAATCCCTAAAGTTCAACTAAACAACAACCCAAAGTTAAAACCTTCACATGCAATCAAGTATCTATGAAGTTATTAAGGGTTTCGCCCATCCTCTGGGAGACTACTTGCAATCCATGGAAATAGCAAAATCAATCAATGAATTATATGTTAGATACATGAACAAAACATCAAGGTTGAAGATTATTAAGATAAAAAATGAACAAGAGCACGTACAACAAGAATTATCAATTGTTAATCGCAATGGAGAAAGAAGAGACATACAATGGAATTTATTTTACTAGAGATTCAATCCTCAAGGAACAACCATAAAAGTTATGAATTATAATCATCGAAATTGCAAATTGAACTGGAATCTACTTGTTTTACAGCATGGCGTAGCGGTGGCTTTAGGGGTAGGTAACGATGTTAAACCATTGTTTTTGCTAAGGGGCTAGTTGGTTGGTTAGACTTACAAGCGAATGACTCTTGATTTCCTTTCCAACTTTTTAATCCACCATGCCACCAACAATTCTCCAATGAACATCACCTTCCAATTAATGGGCCAACCTGAAAAAATGATTATGAGGAATGTCAATAAGGTTTTTAGTTGGCCTAGAAGAGGTAAGATAAGCCCTAAGGATTGTCCCTATTGTATGTATTATTGCATACTCTTTTGGAAACTTATGGTTGGCCTAAAGGAAGTAGGATAATGACTTACTACTAAGGATTACCCCTCTCATATATATGATTGCAGTCTTTCTTATTGTGAACATTATCTTTTCTAAGGGACACAATTCTAAGGACTTATTTCTACACGTAGGCATTAGATTTCATCTTTTGTAATTTATTTAAGAAGTCTAAGTGGCTCTTGGTGCAACAAGGATTGAGTTGTGCTCCTTAAAGACCATGCATTGATTAGAGGACGATGGTGTCGTGGGCTACAGTGAGTGGGCTAATGATTCTATATCTTCCTCCCTCATGTGGAGGCAACGGTAATCTACAACCCACAAATTTGGATTTTCCAACCTGATATTGAAAGAGTTCTGAAAGGTAAAAAGCCGAAAAGAGAGCCAGAGGATAGCTACGAGGGTGGAACCATTCCATTTGAGTAAATTTGGCAACATTGTAAGCTGGCTTTGTCAACAATAGTTATGCTTCATTTTAAAATGGTGTCAGTGTATGTAATTATGTGTATAGAAATGCCTTTTGTTTTAAATTAAAAGGAGAAAAAAAGTAGTGGTGTGTCATATAAAAAAGATGAAAACGAAAGGAAAAGGATGATGAATATAAGGAAAAAATTGTAATTCAATGAAAGAGAAAACATGTTGATATAAATAATAATTTTATGTCTCTTAGTTGTGGAATAGAATTTTAAATATGGTTGTAAACTTGTCAAGTGGATGGTTAAATGGAAATTTAATCTGTACTTGTGATTGAATTTAGTTGGTGTTCTATGATTGAAGTTGCTTCACTAGTTTAGGTTTTAATCACCACTTTCTTCTATAATTCTTAATATTTTGGTCCTAAGTCTCATTACAACCATATAAATCCCTTATGGTTAGAAGTAAAGAGTGTGTATCTATCGGTGATTTGGTGGAGAAAGTCACAATTCAAACTTATAGTGAGGAAATTGAAATGATGAGATGATGAGTCCTGTGTGAGAGTCTTGTGATGTCACCTTGTAGGACTGACTTGATATTGATAGAAGATTAGAAAAAGGATGTTTTATGCTTTATCAGTCAAATCAACTAGGGTTGAATATTGTTCTTATTGGCTTGCTAGGTCGAAATTAGTCTCTTTCTATGCTCCTCCTTTAGCATCCATTTCATGGTCTTGTTTTGCAGCTTTGGTAAATTTTGAATCATTGCAGGCCCCTTTAGCATCCATTTCATGGTCTTGTTTTGCAGCTTTGGTAAATTTTGAATCATTGCAGGCCTAGCCTTTCTGAAAGACCTCTTTAAAACATTCCCTCATTTGGCTGTTTAGGGACAAAAATTTCCATTAAAACATTTTAGTCCTCATCTTGACATGAATAAAGAGCATTTAGGCCTTGTTTACTTCACCTTAAAACAAATATTCAGTAAAAATAATTTTAATTTTGTAAAAATAATTTCAGTTGAATAAAAATAAGTTCAGTTGAGTAACAAAAAATTTATTTGAATAAAAATAATTTTAGTTTCGTAAAAATTTGTAACTTAGAAGAAGAAATATAATAGAGAATCATTAAAAAATAATTTTAGTTCAGCAAAAATAATTTCAGTTTAGTGATAATTTTATTACAGTAAAAATAATTTTAGTTCAGCAAAAATACAGTAAAAATAATTTCATTTCAACAAAAATAAGGTGAAGTGAACAAGGTCTTAGTGCTAATTCTGCATAGTGTTCATTATTCTGAGTTATACGAGGTGTTTTATGATTTTTGATGTACTTCAAGTGCAATTGGACATTCCTTGATCCCTTATTTTTGTTGATGTTGATTTGGACTTAAGCTTCGGAACATGTTTTGAAGTCACATGCAAAGAAACTATGGGAGGAAAGGCTCTAATCAGGTCAGCACACCTGTGCAGACCTGATAGCTGTGAGACAGAAGCTACTGGTCCCTGGAATTTGGGGAGCACATCCGTACTGGGCTCCAAAGTGCACTGTAGAATGTGGCCATGCTGTTTCTAATTTGAAAGGGCTTTGAACATCTGTTTGTTGTTGTAGCTAAAGGTTTAATAAACAGAAGTGAGTCTGACTTATGGTACTGGATTACACAAATGTAGACAACCAGAAGCGCATTTATTTCCTTTTTTTCTTTCATTCTTTATGTTTTAGGAGTTAAGTGAGTCTGACTTATTGCTGAATGTAATGCCTGCTGTGGACTTATTTTCCTATCTCTCCGATAACTAGGTAGTTATACTCACAGAAATATACAGGTTTCAGTGATCATTTTTCCTCACATGCAGGTGTTTCACGGTGCAGACAATGATGTGCTTTGGCTGCAAAGAGACTTCCACATTTATGTGGTTAACATGTTCGATACTGCAAAGGTCTTTGTCCTTTTCCTTATCACATTGTCAATTAAAGGTCAATTGGTTGTAAAAGTTAATAAAATGCAGAATAAATGATCCTCATGTGCAAAATCTGTTAAAAGCCTAATGGTTGAAAGGAATAATGAAGTGTACATATTTACCAAAAAAAAATAAAATAATGAAGTGTACAAATTAATGATTTTATTGAAAATCTCATAAGATAATTTATTAGAATATCAGTTATTCCAGTACTATTGCAAGGTCTGTTGTAGCATAAGCTAGGTTTATTAAAGTGTTATACTGTATTATTTTATTGTAGATTATCAATCTTGTTTGGGTGCTTGTTTTTTAAGATGCATGCCTTGATGCCTCTACCTTATTTTTGTGCAGGCATGTGAAGTTCTATCTAAACCACATAAATCTCTGGCATACTTACTTGAGACCTATTGTGGTGTTACCACAAACAAATTATTACAGGTAGGGTCATATCATTTCATTGTTCAGGCTTACATTTTTTTTCTTTATATTACCTATTGATTTTGCAAGAGTTCTGCAAAGAAGATAAGGAACTGACATTTATGTTCAAAAAGTTGGAATTACGAATTTGTATACTGATGGCATAGGTAGTCTGAAGTAGAACCCCCTCTTTCAGGATTGCACTTGTCTCCATCAGTTTGTCTTTATTAGTTTTCTGTCTTTCTGATTCACTGTAATAGATTCAAGGTAAGTTACAAAAAACAATGAGATTAAAAAGTAAAGATTGAAGCTTTGATTGATAACAAACAACTTCACAAGTTAGCGGCTTTAGGCTGGCACTAGTGACTTTAGGTCACAACTCTCAAATAGTGACTTGAGGTCACAACTCTCCTAAGGATTCACTCCAAAAATCTGCCTACCTCTTCCCCCCCGCCTATTTATAATAAAATTAAAGACTATTAACCTAAAAATACAAGACTACCCATAGTGCCCCTCCTTAGATTAGTTTATTACATTTCCAAGGTGAAACTTAAGCGTTTGCATCTAAGAGGTAGGAACAAATCAACAAATTGTATTTAGTTTTTTAAACTGTGTAGTAAGTTCTAATTATGTAGGGTAAGATAATTAGTTTAAAGACAATAAATTTGCTTGGTGAATTATCAAAGATAACAAAATTTCATGTCTAGAAAAGGGATGGTGTCCTAGCATTTGCCTTGCAGAAGGATGCTTTTGAAATATTTCAATTTCAACTAAAGCTGTGTAAGTAGACTAGTAGGGAATTTAAGGCTGTAATTAGTACATGCACATCTTGAATAATGCAGATAATGAATTGTTGAATATTTTTTCAAGAAGGCAGAGCAGATTAAGATACTAAGCTTAAATTGATCTCTGATATTGTTGCTAGGTCCCCGGCTAATTTTTAAAATTGAATAGTTGCCAAAGCAGAAGATCCAATTTACTGGTGTTTATGGTAAACTGCAATTCTATGTAAGTGGCATATGGATTCCTAATATTTGGAATATATAATACTTGTATTAATATGCTTATCATGAAAGGCATAATCATAAGCCTATAATTCTAGATTTACAAGTATTAATGTTGGTATATTACGCACAGACCTATTAGATTCTTCATAATTTGTTTGAAACTTCTTTATCATTTCTCATTCTTTTCCACATACCTCTAAGGAGAGAGGATGAAAGGGGAAAATCTTAATATAGAGTAACTATTGATGTGATGTTGCCACTTTGTCTAGCGCGAAGATTGGAGACAGCGCCCTCTTCCTGAAGAGATGGTGGAGTATGCCCGATTAGATGCACATTTTCTTCTTTATATAGCACGATGCTTGATCAAGGAGCTTGAAGCAAAAGATAAAGGTATAATTCTACTATTTATTTTAAAGTTGTTGGGGTTTTATAATAGATGCAGTAGAACAAAAGATACTAAATGATTAAAAACTCAATATGAGAAAAATTCTTCCACATTTATCACGGATGAATACTCTGCATAATACATATTATGTTTTCCCCTCATTTAAGGATTAAAAAACGTTATTAGGAAACTAAAAACAAAATCATTCTTTGTACTGAGTGATTGAAAGCTCATGACAATTCAGAGATTTAAATAGGAATAGGGGGTAGGGGAAAGAATTCTCCCAGATGACAGACTCATCAACTCAAGCTGAATACTGAATATTATAATTTCTTAAGGTGTTAACATAGAATTACTTTCGCTTAGGTTAAAAAAAACTCTCCAAATCTGAAGGGAGATGATTTACTTGGGCAAGTAGCATTACATGGGGAAATTCCATTGCCTTGGGCACTAAGAATGTTCTTGCAAAAAAAAATTAAAAAAAAAAAAAATCTTACCCGTCTTTATGAATTGATTCAAACAAGGATATTACAAGATTTAAGAATTACGCCCATAATTTTTTTAACGAGTTGTATCCCATTCTCTTCACCCTATATCTACTTAACTTAAACTTATATTAGTTTTACCAAAATTAAATTATTTTTTGTTGAACTTGGTTTAGATTTATCGATTAGAAATCTTACTTTTATTGATTCAGTATATTATAGTTTTACTCCCTTTATTATATCTTGTTCTACCCACTTCTCATTATAGTCTGTTTTTTCGTTCTACTCACTGTGCTTTATTCTATTTTAGGCTTATCCCCTTTACCATCTTACCCCTTTTACTCCATAATAATTACATCTTTCCACACACTATTTCTTACTTAATCACTCTTTTCTTACACCCAGCCACCTTTTTAAACTTTCTCTCACTTAATCCTACTCTTACACGCACTCACATTTTTCAATATTCAAATTGCGTATCCATAGACTTAGTTGAACATAAAAGAACGAAGGTAGTGTATATTTTCATTGAAGTTACTGATTTTAAAACTTATTTTTACTGAACTTGAGTTATATTTACTAAATTTAAGTTTAGGTTTATTTGTATTTTACCACCTAAAAATAACCGCCTTTTGAAATAATTACCCATTTTAATTTTATAATAACACCAAAAAAAAGACAAAAGATCAGATTTCACCACCATATAGCACTTTCCGTCAAAAAATCGTTAAATTCCATATTTTTAAAAATAATTATTGATTTTCGTGTCGAAACTTGTTCTATTAAAGTTCTGGGGGTTATTTTGACCTTAATGGTTCCGATTTGAGGTTAAAATTGACAAAAATTATCGAAAATGCCTCGATTTGTGTGCAATCGAGGTATATTTTGGTATGCAAAACGTGGCATTTCCAATACTTTTTTTTTGTTAATTTTGACCTCAAATAGCATCCATTGGGGACAAAATGACCCCCAAAATCTCTAAGCAGCATATTTTTGGCATGGAAATCGAGGAATTTTTTTTTGGAACGTTAGATTTAACGGTTTTCTTGACAAAAAGTGTTAAGTGGTGGTGAAATAATTGTTTGTTTTTTTTGGGTGGTATTTTATAATGAAAATTAAAATGGGTGGTTAGTTCAAAAAGTGGGTTATTTTTGGGTGGTAGAATACAAAAAAAAATCCTTAATTTTATTTGTTTGACTTGTTTATAATTAATATCATTTTTTAAAGCTAAATAGAACAGAGCCTAAGTTTCTTAAATAAGGTGAAGAGAAAATAGCCTAAGTACAGATACATTTGTTATGTAAGAAAAAGTACTTTGGAAGCTTTGTTTATATGCATTATCAGCCTTGAATGTTCTATATTAGAATTTGTTCATCATCTTCTTCATAAAAAAAAATATCAACAGATACCAGTCAACCAAAAGATTCAACACCTCAGGATGTCAGGTTCCAATTCCTCCCCGAGGCTATTCACAGGTCAAATACGATTAGTTTGCAACTGTTTTGTAAAGAGTCTGATTCTTTTCCTGGAGAATCTGTAGCATCATCAATAATTTCTCGTTATTTGAATAATCAAGGAGTTTTTGTCTCTGAAATTTCAGGACCACAGGTACACAAGTTAACTTTTTGTTATGATGTAGCTATTATGCCTGAAATACTAATATTGCTATTCTGATGCTTTTACCAGGTCCAGAATCACATAAGAAAACTTTGCGCCTGGAGAGACTTAATGGTTAGTAGTTAAGTTTTGACATTTATGGTTCCTTTTTAAAATATGCATGGACCATCCATTCGATCGTTGTTTATTAAGCGGTTTATTTCTCTTAGATGTTGGCAGTTTGGCACATCCAATCAGAAACATGTTCATGCCTACATCCAAGATTACAGTTTATTGCACAATGTGCACTGTTAAACACAAATTAACATTATTTTTTCAAATTAGTAATCACAACTGTATTCTTCAAGGTTGGCACATGTATCCTTAGACACAAAAGAATTGCTTTGTTCAATTCTTGTTTGGGAGAATGTTTTTTTTTTTTTTTTATTTTGTTCCATTCTTATTTAGGAGAGTGGTTTTTTTTTTTTTTTTTTTTTTTTTTTTTTTTTTTTTTTTCCCCTTTCATTTTTTAAAAATATTTTTTAAATTTGTAAAGGGAGTCCCTACTCTGCCTCTAATTAATGTTTGAGAATCGAAAAGCTCTTAGAGTGATATTACATCAATTACTCAATTAGGTAACTCTGTCAAGAAATTAGGTTTTTACATTGAATGGCCATAATGTTATAAATTAAAACTATTAGTGGATTGAATTTATGTTTCTTCGGCTTAGTTATGTACAGTCCAAAAGTAGTGTAACCAAGGTGTTGTGGTTTATCTTTCATGTGATAACTTAAATGAGGGTATAGTGAAAGGAAGATCTAGAAAGCTGTTTATTGCGAATGAACAAGTGAGCTACAAAGAGCTGTGCCAAGGAATTTTGGGAATTGTATTTTCTTAAATGGTCAAAGCTAGTATGGGGTTTGAGGAAATAAGTACATGAATGGTTTAATGGAAGAGTATACAGTGGAAGCATTAATGAGGGCTTCCTCATTTATGTGTGATCACTATGTTTGTACTGAAAAAAAGGACATTTAAAGGTAGCCTTTAGATTAGGAGCCACCTGCTAGAGCCCTATGTTAAATTCTGGACATCCACAGGGATATTGCTTCTTGGCGAATTGTCATTGGCTGATTTTTAAAACAATCAAAAGCTTGCATCCATGGTGTAAACACAAAGCCGCAATATTTTGGTTGGGTTGTATTGTAAAGAATTATCAATTGACCGAACTGAAATTGTCTGTATCAACAAGATGTATGTCAAAAACCCACAACCTTGGTTGAGTCAAATGTTCCGATCTTATATCACCCTGTGTTAAACGTTAAATTCCTTGTGTCACTCAAATACTTTTGATTTATAGATATAGTGAAAGATTCCCCTTGTCTCACTAGTCACCACTAGTGACTATAATGCTTTACTATTCTATTTTAACTATTCAAATAGTGTACAACTACTATCAAATCTTAAAAAGACTTTGAAATCAAATTCGCATTGTGAAAACCGTGACATGGTTCGTGATTGATGAATCATATTCGCACTTGCAACACCGTGATCGCAATGAAAACCATATTATTGAACCATGAGTCATGTAACCTGATGGAAATTGCAACGTTCCCTGTTAATTCAGTAACACTAGATTATTGGACCATTGAGATTTGTTGAATTAAAATAAAGTAACTTCATGTTTAGTATATGATGCACAAACCTTAATTCTTCAAGAGCTCTTTCAAGTTGAAGGATTAGGTTTTGCTGTTAAAATTTGTCATAGAATGAGATTATGTAACTTCAGAAATATCAACTTTCTCTGTTTTTTTAATAGACCTCTGTTCTATAGTCATAGTGAAGAAGAATAGGGAATACTTAGGACATTAACCTCTGACTAAATCAATACCAACGTAACCTTGAGATGAGAATACCTTAACAGACATTAATATATCTCTAGATGCCTGTGTGCTGTCTGAAAGGTGATGAAATCTATGTTTCTTCACTATGAAGTTGCATCGCTTTGTTTGTCTTGAGGTTGGGTCACAGCCTCTGTACTGTTATGAGTCACTTGGAAAATTATTGTGTGCTTTTTTCAATTGAATGAGAAAAATCAGCTTGGTATTGTGTTCTTTTACAGTTTTACTTCTTTAGTTGCCTTTTAGATCATATTGTCAATTGGGCTATTCAGCGATTTTTGGTCCTTAATTTCAGGCTCGTGTTCATGATGAGAGCTTGAGATATGTATTATCAGACCAGGCTATTGTTGCTCTTGCGGAAAAGAACCCAGTATCTGAAACAGAAATCTACACCGTCATATCTGCAGCTGATGAAGATAATGATTCAAACCCATCCTCATTCAGCATAATATCACCATCTCCTGTGATCTACAGTCATTGGGATGATGTCCATGGCTTGTTGAAAGAAGAACAAAGCAACTCTGTTGATATTTTGAGAAGGCTTCTTCATAAGCACCTTGGTCCAAATGGGAGTTGCTCTCTGTCTACTTACAACTACAATCTTCTCTTTGGTTCCAACCTGAAACTTGAAAATGGGTCAATATCTATGAAAATTGGGGTGAGAAGTGGAAAGCTAGTTACACGCAAGGCTTCTAGAGAGCTCTTTGTTCAAAAATTCTCATGCAAAGCTCCAGTTTATCATAACTGTAGGATATATGCTAGTGACGGCCGGTTGCTATGCTATTGTGATCACAAAAAGCTTGAATGGTTGGTCGTGATTAAATATGTTTGGCTACATCTACCCCTCTATTTGATACTAATTATATTGTATCTATAGGTACCTTAGCCGCAACTTAGCAAAAGTTATGGATGACAACCCTCAAGCTATCATGCTTTTGTTTGAACCCAAGGGACGCCCAGAAGATGAAGACAATGACTTCTACATCCAAAGTAAAAGAAACTTGTGTGTTAGCTGTGGTGAGAACAAACATTATTTAAGGTATCGGATAATACCTTCTTGCTACAGAATGCATTTTCCTGAGCACCTCAAAAGCCACCGTTCTCATGATATAGTCCTGCTGTGTGTTGATTGCCACGAAGTTGCTCACGCCGCAGCCGAAAAGTATAAAAAACTTGTTGCAGCTGAATATCGTATACCACTTTATGTGACGAAAGTGGTAGATTCAGGACAACTGCAACATACTGAGACACCTGAACTGCAAGATCAGGAAGTAGGTGTTTCACCCTTGCAACTGCGAACAGCAGCTATGGCGCTTCTGAGGCATGGACCAAGGATGCCATCCAAACGTCATGAGGAATTGGTGAAGGTGTGGAACTTTTTTCATTTTTATTTTATTTTATATTTTGTATGGAAGCATAAAATTTAAGTCAATGGTGGTTTATCATTGTGAGTTGGATCTTGATTATTTTTGTCCTGGTCAGCTGGTGGCCTCTTCCAGGTTTGAAATTTTTAATATTTTTCTATCAGATGATGTTACATCTATGGATATAAGTTGCAAATTTTCTTGTTTGATATTGGGATGTTGACTTCTATGTGCTTTATCCACTTTTTCATGCATGCTTGTGAATATTAGTTGGCTAGAAAATTGTACTCTTTCATTGAATCATTCTTCATGTACTTTTTGTGTGTGCTGGGTTAGAAGGTTGTAGCACTGCTATTATTGCTTCATTGCTTGAATTGATTGCATTGTTAGATGTAGAATTCAAAAGCTGAGATTGAAGAGCAAGGTAGATTACATGTAGTATGCCTTAAATACTCCCCATTGGTCATGTGGGGATGATATGAAGAACTCCTATACCAAAATTTATTTATCTAGTGGATAAATAAGATAGGAATTAAAATCAAGTAACCTCCATTATTATGGATCCTAATCATCCTTTACATACCCCCTCAACAAATATCATGACACACATTTTCACTCACAATTTTGCTAGCAAGCTTTCACTCTTAATCTTCCCTTCGTCTTTTAAAAAAATAAATTTCCTCTCTGTATATTCACATCCTCGCTCTAGAGAGTAAAGTTAGTTTGAGAAGGGCCTTGTTGTAGTGTAACTCATGTGTATCACTTTAAATGTGTTGATGTAATCATGATGATCGTTTGATATTGTAGGCAATTATGCACATCTCAATTAGAATTAATTCTCGAAAAAGACAGGCATAAAGGGCTTAATTGAGTGATGTAGGGGCATTGATGCCCCTGTTTGGGATGAGTCTGGGTCCTAGTTTCTGGATATTGATTATTTGTTAAGCATTTGATGGGCTTTAAGAAGGAATTTGTAGATTATTTTGGCATGCTAGTTTAATAATGATTTACAAGAGGATTAGAAGCATAAAATGGATAAATGCAAGATAAGTTGTGGCTACAATTGTGCTCCACATCCAGGGCATTCATTTTCACCGTGTCTGTGGCCCAATAGGCTTGCAAGACCATGTCCATACTAAAAAAGTCACAACCGTGGCACTGGTGGAGATAAAGCACCAAGGCCAATACAAAGTACGGGCTTTTTGTTTCTCTATGTGTGTGTGTGTGTGTGTGTGTGTGTGTGTGTGCGCGCGTTTGTGTGTTTGTTTTTTTTATTTTTTTTTTATATTTGTCCACCCACATCTATAGTCCAATTTGGTAAAAATCTGTCATCATCTTTCTTCCTTACCTTATGCACACAAGTACTTTTAACTCCCTCTCTAGTAGATTATTGACAGTTTTTCTTTCACCTGCCTTCATTTTTCTACTATCCTTGTCTGTTAACACCATTATGGTAGAACAATATAACGTACTATATACTCAAATCATCTCCTTGTACTACACTTATTAATAATCTAGGCCGTAACTTTTTTATCTGATGTATTTTCTTTTCTTGTTATTTCTCAATTTCCTTTGCCTGAGGATGGGTAGCCAAGTTTTCTTATATGCCCATCTTCATCCATTATGTATTGAATGTAATATAGAAATGATTCTGAATGTGCATACTACGTTACTTTGCAAAACAAATTGAATTACATTATGTGATGTGTTTTATCTCCAGGTTGTATTGAGCAAAGCATTTGCTGCTTAATAGTGGGATACAAGATTTTGTTTTTCTGATAATGTCTCATTTATTTACCTGGTATCTATAAAGGTTGTCCGGACTTATTATGGAGGTAGGGAGATATCACATGAAGACCTTGAGGCAGCTTTACATGTTGGCATGAGTCCTAATGAAAGGAGAAAATTTGAGAAAAAAAGAGGGGCTTCCTATAAGCATTCCTTGGCAGAAAATTTTTCAGGTGAGGTACCTGGGAACAATTCTGCTGACATGCTTGAACCGGGCAACCATTATTCATTAACTAGTAAGCCCAGTGGATCACTGGATGCAACAGATCAAGCATCGGATTTGCAGCTAGTCAACAAGCCTGAAACAAGTGTAAAGACAACCTCGTTTTCTGTGAAAGACATCAGTGGGGATGCATTTACTGTTAATGGTGTACTTATGACTTCAGCCGACAGTGGAACCTCTGATGACAAAGATGTGATGCTTTCGGATACTGAAAATACCTGTGAGAATAGAAATCCTCAGCAAGCAACTGTTGATGGTAGAAAGGGTAAGTCAAAGGTTTCATTATTAGGACATGGGCCTCATGGGAAAAAAGTTGTGGATTATTTGCTCAAAAACCATGGAGAGGATGGGATTCATGTATTTTGTCAAAGGTGGCGACAAGTCTTTATTGATGCTCTCCATCCCCGTTATCTTCCTGGCGGATGGGATGTAAAGCACAGGTAAGTTGTTCTACATCATGCTTATCATTTTATTTAATGCTTCTCTTGTGTCCTCCCACTTTCCACGTCTCCAACCCCTCACTTCTCTTATACTAACGGACTTGCATATGCATAGACAGCATATATAGTGTACAAAGGCTGTTTGTCAGTGAATTTTTGAATTTTAAATTATCGCTTTGTCGGGCCCTGTATTACTAGTTTTTCTGATTCCATACTATGCTCCTGTATCCTGTCTGTTGTATTCTTTGGAGTGCAATTTGGAAGCAAACCGCCTATCTATATCTGTAACATACAACTCATAAGCATATTGACCATTATCACCCATCTAATCTCCTAAATGCTTACATATGATGTATGAATTGAGAGACGTAAAAGATGTCATCAATGTATATCTTGAAATGTTGTAAGTTCTGAGCAAGGCACTTTTGGGCTGGTTGTTCATGTTGCATGGGCTGCATGAGTTTGCTAGCTACATACTTTTCCCCTAGCAGATTGAGTATTGAACTTAATGTTATTACATGTGTAGTCTTGCAAAGTTGAGATTTTTGGATTGACTTTTTCTCCTTGGTGCTCTAAATATACCGTGAAAGTGGCTTGATTTGTCAAAGGGCTAACCCTGTCAATTTCTTAGAAATATAGGCTGAATTATACTACAGATTATCACTGATTAGCTTATCATTTTGGGAAGAAAAATTTATAAAGTATTCAGCTACACATGAAAAATCAACTGCTACAGCACTTGATAATTAACATTTAGGTCAATGTAATAATGATAGGATAAAGAAGTCATTTCAAAGACCTCAACTTTGCAAGATTATCCACATAAAAATAATAAACCCAACAAAAAGAAATATTCCAAAATGACTTGCCTGGAGGGAAAATCACATAGCTAGCAAACTCTTCTATATATTTCAACTGTCAGATCCATCAGCATTTTCTTATGTCTGCATTTGATTCTACTCTTGTCTTATTGATCTGCACTGATGTTTTGTAACTGCTTGGTATTTGCTTTGCTCCTTAAGTAACATTCCTATATAGCTGCTTTTGGTTAGGGTCATTCATGTATGAGATTTGGAATTTATTTAGAGGTCTGTCTAGTATGGTCGAAGTTAAGGTTCTTTAATGCAGGTTATTATGTTGCATGCTGGTGGAAAAATTCCGTTACTATTAAGCTGCTTTCCTTAAACTTTTTGACATTTCTTGAAAGTTAAGATTATAAGTAAATTGAACTTGAAAAAAAGATAATCTAATATTGTAAAAATGAAAATTGTTGAATGGGTGGTGGTTTTGTTGCATCCTGCTGGAAAATGAACATAAAATGTTAATACTTGGTTGGTATTTTTCTAGGACTTCTCTGAAATTAAAATTGTTGGTTTGCTTATTTATGTTCTATTTTGGGACTATACATATTCATGCTGACTTAGAAGCTATCTGGACTATGTTAACGCTTGTTCTGATATTTCTGTTAGAGTTATTGAACTATTTCTTAACCAGCTACTTTTTTGTTCTTTCTGTTGTTAATTTCATGAGGTTCTGATACTGATTTATGTTTTATTTTCCCAGTGGAAAGAGAGGTTTTGGAGAATTTAGCGTTTATAATCCTGGGAAGAAGGATAGTAATACCATCCCGGGGTAGCAAGTTTTGCTGATGAGCTGCTTGATACGATACATTGATCAGATGGTTTTCCCGGAATCAAAATTTTCACCATATATATCTCCTTGATAGTTTCGATCCTTTCAAGTTCTTGTATGGCTTGTTTGGGAATTGGCATTTGTTATCAGATTGACACAGGTACCAAAACTGAAATTTTGTAATAGTATAAAAACCATTTAGTTTGTTAATTTGTTTTTTTTTTTGAGAAAAAAAAACCATTTAGTTTGTTGGACCATGTGATAGGTAGATTGATTACAAAATTTTTTGTTAGTGTCAAATTGTGAAGAGGCCTCAAAAAGAAAGTACTCCGTAATACATAACTTTTCCTTTAGCATCTTTTTTTTTTCTTATGTTCTTTTTTTTTTTAGTTGACATGTTTGACTTTAACACTATTCACACACTCGTTTTGTGCTGTTTACATAATGAATAATATAGTTATGTGGTATCTTATTAGTTTCGTCACGATATATGTTTTCAAAATATTAACTTTATGGTTGAATTTGTGCATTGGCAAACGTGACTAAAAAAAGTGTCAACTAAAAAAAATGGAGGAAGGTGTCTTAAGCAATCTTTTTGCATATCCATTCGAGAGCATTTTACTTTTGATTTGATCCCTAAGTGATTGATATTATGGGTCTTATTGAATTGGCACTAGGGTAATTATTGGGCCAATTGTTGAAATTTAAAATTTTGGATTCAAAAAATTAGAAAGTTTAGTCCATGAATCCATTAATTTACCGGATGGGGTTTATCACTTCACCTAATCGGTTAACATCGGCTAACGTTTTGAGAGCTGTAGGGTTTCCCCCCAAATTAGATTCCCTTGTTTGTGCCTTGCGATTTCCATGGTGGGTTCCCCATGAAAGAGGTTGAGAACGAGAGAGAGAGAATATGTTTTTGAAGGAGATGAAGACGGTTGCAAAGGATCAGAAGAATTTGGAGGCGTAATTGAAGAGTAATTTAATTTATTGCCTCGTTAGTGAAGTATAACTGCTGCATTATTGAAGAAATTAGAGAGTAAAGTGTTTTAATATAATTATAGGGAACTAGAAGAAAAGAGGTGGAAATAATATAAACAAAAATATGTCACATGACCTATACATAAAGAGTCAACTCCAAAAATAAGGAAGTCAACGTCGAAAAATAGGGGTTGGATGTTTTTATAACAAAAGAATTTCAATTCGTCTTACATACAACCGGCTTACATTAGTTTAATGTAAAACGAGTTTTCCACACTTGTCAACTAAAAGGAAGAGAAAGCTACTCAGAAAAAGTGACTTATATATAAAAGGGTAACTTTTACAGGTTTATACTCCCTCCGTTTTTGAATCATTAACACAGTAAAAGTTGACACACATCTCTCGCACACATCGTTGTAATATGCAGCCTTTTCGAAGAGACAGTGCATTGATTTCTTGTAACCGATAAGATTAATTTTCATCTAATTCATTTACATGTATTTGAAAATTTAACAACCGTTGCGATCCCGCATGAATCTTTTACCAACAAATTGATTTTATGGATGAAATGCTTTTTTATAAACCCTAACCCATAATAATTATTCCCTAAGCAGATGAACAACTATACCAATAATTAACAATATCACCATAGTGAAACTAGAACATGTCATATACACTACTTTTTCAGATTTATTTAAATGAGCAATGTAAATTTAGAAGGAAAAAAAAACTACTAAAAAAAAGAGGGTCGAAAGTAATCCAAACAAATTAGAGAGAGAGAGAGAGAGAGAGAGAGAGAGAGAGAGAGAGAGAGAGAGAGAGAGAGAGAGAGAGAGAGAGAGAGAGAGAGAGAGAGAGAGAGAGAGAGAGAGAGAGCAATTTAATAATACATCTAATTAGTAAATTAAATAAAATTTATTAATCAATTTATGGTCATATTCAATGTTACCTTATTTACTACCTCTGTTACACAGTAGATGTAATGTAACATTAAGAATAAAAAAACTGGTGGATTGCTAAACATCGCCCGCAAATCTCCACATAAAGCCCACAAAATTCACTTGATTTGACAATATTGCCCTTAACATAAAAAAAAAAAAAAAAAAAAACACTCACACTCTCATCACCAAACACTCATCTTCTTTCTACATCTCTCTAAAAAAAATTCAAACTACGGCAATGTCGAGGCGGCAAGGCAAGGAATTGGCGGCGGCGGCGGCGGAGGGAAGGAGGTCTCAAGGACGCAAGGTACAAATTTTTTTAAAAAAAAAAATTAAAAATAAAAATAAAAAACAGCCGTGATTGGCGGGGCGCCTAGGCAAGACGCCCAGCCAGGGGTGGTGGCGTCAGCTGCAGACGCCAGAACTAGGGGCCTGGCTGCTGGGTTGGACGCCGTAGCCACGGATGTGGCGTTTTTCCAAGGCGCCGCAGCCGTGGCTTCAGCGTCCAACCCAGACGCCAGGCCACTGGTTCCGATGTCTGCAGGTGGCGCCACCACCACTGGCTACGCGCCCAGGCGCCCCCCCCCCTTTTTTTTAAAGTTTTTTTAATTTTTTTTATGTTTATTATTTTTTTAAATTTTCTTTGTTTTGAAAATAAGAATATTTTATTTTTAATGTGCATTTTCTTTTTCAATTTTTTGTATATTATGTTGTTTATTTTTATAATTTTTTTCAAATTTGTTGTATTTTTTTATGTTTATATTTCCTTTACAATTATTTGTTTGTTTTATTTGTACATTTTTATTTTTATTCTTTATTACAATTTGTTAGTACATTTTTTTGTTTATTTGATATTGTTTTTGGTTAGTTAATTTATTTTAATTTATATTTATGTTTATATATATTTTGTATGTGTTGGTTTTTTTCCTTTCTTTGTGTATTTTTTATTCTATTACTTTTTAAAGTGTTATGTTAATTTGTTAGTATGTTTTTAGTTTATTTGATTTGGGTTTTGGTAGCTATTTTTCTTATAATTTTTTTTTATGTTTATATATTTTTAAATTTTTTGAAGGTGTCGCAATTTCACCATGGTGCGGGGAAGAATATAGATGATCATGATATGCCACCGGCCACTGCCGTGGATGCGGTATGTGTCATTAAACATTTATTGTTGTGTTTTTGTAATTTCTATATATCGTTATTCATTATAATATTTTCTTTTTGTGTAGTGGATGGTAAAGTTGATGCAAGTGGGACAGAAACTCTCTCAGGAGAGGGACAGCATGACGACTGCATCTGGGAGAGTTGATATTGATGAGTTGGAACGGGCCATTGCGCATTGGGAGTCGGTGTCAAAGAGGGATTATTGATCTTTTTGCCAGTTTATTTGCAGAACATTTTCTAAAATTTGCAGTTATTGTTTAAGTTTATAAAATTTGCAGTTATTGTTTAAGTTTATAAAATTTGAAAATATTGTTTAAGTTTTGTAACTTTTGACATATTCGTTTAAGTTTTTAACATTTGACATTATCGTTTAAGTTTTTAAAATTTGACATTATCTTTTTACTTTGTAACACGCAACGTATGCATGCAAGATATAAATGTAGTCAAAAGTAGAATACAAAAAATAAATGTTTGTATTAAAATAGCTACAAAAAAATAAGGTTACATAGAAATAGTGTACGCACTCCAAGTCTTGTTGGTACACATGACCATAAACATCTCGGTTTGAGGCAATTTCACTGTACATCAACTGACGCACTAAACCGTAGTTGTCTTCGCCCATCTGAAACACATCAGCCACGACCCGGAATCCGCAGTTACCATCTCCAACTACATCATTCCACCCGTCCAAGTATGACATGATGATGTTAGGAATCCTGTCCTTGTATGCAAACTGATCAATATCAACTCTTCCTATTGAACACATAATATCGTTCTTTTTTCTAATCAATTTCCTTGCTTTTGAGCTTGAATATCATTTAGATATACTTGGTTTTATTGATTTATTGTGAAATTACATTGAATTTTTATTTATTGTGTAGTAGTACAAAGCCATTTTATTTAAATCTAGGGTTTAACAGTATGGCGTGTTGCGTGCATGGGGTTTATTGAGCATTTTAGTTGATTTACGTTTCAATTATTTTGGGTTTTAGTCTAATTGACTGACAATCTCAAATGTTGCAGAATTTCATTTAATTTGGTTTTGTTTTATTACTCAGATCCTCCTTTTTCGTTTTCTCGGCTGGGTTTTGCACTATGAACTCAAGAATTGGCCTGGGTACATTGGGTTTCAATTTTATGGAATTTCTTAAATATGAAATGACAATACATCATACCATGTCGTCGTCTAGAGTCCTTGAGAGAATTATGAGTTGCTACTACTAAACAAAAATCAGATCTTATTGCAACTTGTTTTGCCCAATCAATCGCTTGTTGAGCATCTTCGAAGGGACCATCATGTACAGAAATCCTACTATGCCATATTATTTTTAAATACATATAATTATATAAAGATTAAATTAATACATTTAACACAAAATTAACATAAGTAATTTCTAAAATATTTATTTGTAAATTTCATTCTTATATATAATTTACACATACAAAATTAAACATAATTTTATTAACACATATTTATAACATAATTTCAGATTAAAACAAATTTTTTTTTTGAACTTATTAACATATATTTAATTTCAAATTTATCAAAGTTAAAAAACCACAAAAGAGAAAAAAAAACAAAAACTTTAAATAAAATTAAAAAAAAATTACAAAAAGTAGGAGTGGCGTCTGGCCAGGACGCCGCCACCGTGGCGGTGGCGTCTGGCCAGGACACCGCAGCCATACGGTTGTGGCGTTCCGGCCAGACGCCACCCCTACTTTCGTAATTTTTTCCCCGGATTATCTCGCTTTCCAGCGACGATGACGGCTCTCCGGTGTCCCTCGGCGATCCACTCCAGCTCCACATTTTTCGTGAGAGAGTTACGGTTTTGATAAAAATTAGAAAAAGGGAAAAAGAGTCAAAGTAAAAATAATTGTGGGCTTTATATAGAGATTTGTGGGCGATGTTTAACAAATCCCAAAAACTGGGGTGTATAATCTGTGACTGTTTAGGAAAATTGAGCTATGGGTACTCATAAAGCTTGGTATTTGTTTATCTTTTAAGGTTGAAGTGTTGGCTGTGGAATATGGACTAGAACTTTATAGTGGCATTTTAGGTCTTTTAATCACTTTTTAGGTCACATTTGCATAACTTGTCTGTTTTGTGCTTTATTACGTTTCTTTGTATTTTCTTAATGTTTCAGGTGATTCATAATCATTTGGATGCTTTCCAAGTGTTTAGAGTTGATTCATATGATATTTGGACGTAAAGACGATGAATAAAAGTCATTGAACAAAGGATTTATGTTTGTGGATGCTTAGGTCGAGAT